AGCTGTGTAAGGCGCCTTCTTAAGCGCCTATATTTCCTCTCCCACAGATCCCCCAAGTCAGCCGCGAAGTCCTTCACCAAAAGTCGTGTCATTTTTTACTGGAGGAAAGGCTGGCAATCACGGACGCAGAGACCATAGCGGTTTGACGACCAGAATTTGAGCGAAGTCTAGGCCCACAGCGAGCAGCTCGTTTCCGAGCACGTGTGGATTTCAGAAATTTCTATCTCCCATCGGTCAACGTCTGTCCTGTTGTGCTACTTTGTCTTCGTTGCACCGGATCTCATTCATCTCTGCAAGCTTCAGCTTCGAGCTTCAAACATTCAATGATTCACATAGGATGGAGAGAATAGTGTTCGAGGATGGATTTGTGCGTGCAATCTGGCAAATAAACGGTGCGTTGATACGTTATCTCTATCGAACATTAAATAATGCACTGGATAGAATCCTAGTGACGCATCTACCGGATAGCAATGATGTCTTGGGTGTGGACTATGCTAGAAAATAAAATGCAGATGCCGTACAAGGTTTCATTCTAGACACATAGGGCCTTCCGCCCTATGACAAGGAGTCGTAGTACGACTGTCGTACTGGTCTTGCGTGCGTTAGATCGTTCTGCTTTCCATGACTCACTGTCAGAATTTGCTGAATGTTCCTGTATAAATGATATCTATCGTACTTACGTGGCTGTAAACACTGAGAAGAGAATTACACTTCAAGAAGCCATGGCCGCGACACGACTAGCCATCTTCGCCACCTCGTCGGCGTTAGTGTTCAACTCTCGAGGAATTTTCCAAAATCCCACATCAATACCCTTCCTCTCCACAAAACTGATAGCTTCATCCAACTTCAAGTAAAGATCAAGATTCGCAGACCGCTTTCCTTGGGACGTGCGCATTCCTTTCCTCTGATGCTAGCTAGTTAGCTGCGGGTCGGGAACCTGCAAGACATGCGTACCTTCCATTTGGGTAACCACTCTGTCATGCCCAACACAACATTCTCCGAGTCGGATGCAATGATCCATTGAGGACGAGTCACCAGACCAGAGCTGTCTCTCGCGTTATGGGTCTTGAACGTCCGTAATTCGTGCCTCTTCATGTTGCGGTATTCTTCCACATCCGTCTCAAAGTACCGCATACGCATCATCTCGAGTCCTTCAAGGGCAGCCAACAGCTCCGCACGTTGACTGGTCCTCTTGGCACCCGGATCCAACGTGTCGTCAATGGGAATACTCCACTGGTTGCTCTCGCTGCTTCCCATAACAATCCCAATCCCTGCCGTCGCATCCGCTTGCCCATTATTAGAACACGCCCCATCGACGAAGATGAGTCTGAAGTTCTTACAGGGAGATAGATCCCCTTTGAAGGTCCCGTGGTAGCAGCACGCCACGAAGTATGTATCGCAGCAGGCGCATTGAGTGATTAGCTCATCGAGGGGGAAGTCCCTGGCGAGTCGTTCGCACAAATGGAACCTGCGAGCGAAGACTCCTTCCTCTCCAGGACTATGTTCAAGATTCATGGGTGTATAACACAATGAAGGAGACTCACCTCGTGTTCGATCCATATCGATATCGGGGGGAACCGAATTGAGATATCGAATCCTCTAGAATCGCCCGCTCTTCTTCGCTGGGATTCACGGTGATCCTTTGTGATTGGGATCGGATCTAGCAGCACTAAAAATAGACGTGGAAGATGAGGACTAGAAGAGACATGGTTGAGGATGACCACTCGCCTGGCCGCCCACTGAACGCGAACACTCCTGTTTGTGCGAAATGGTTCTCACAATGTCAGAGGGCAGAAATAGCTGCCCATCTACACTAAACTTCCCATATGACAGCACTGATATGAGGCTATTCGGGCTTTCTCCACATACTGTGGATATCGAGGGTCGCAGATTGGGGGATGCGAGAGCGTAGATGGGCTACTCTGGCAACTGCAATGTCAGTATCGACGCTGGAAAACGACACCAAGATTCGGAGTCTTCATTGGGATAGTTGTCCGGCCAGTGACTTGACTCCGGCTTTCTTCTACGTCTGGAGTTTCTCTCACGAGTCGTCCCGCATATCTTCTCAATCTGATCCTGCGGACTCCCCCGGGACGTGAATCGGTCGGATTGCCCTATTATTAGTAGGGGGAGGGAATGGTCAAGCCCCTGCGATGCCTTTGGGGCAGGGTAGTATCCGATATCATTCATCAAAAAGGATATACGGGCGCATCTTCAGGTATATCAGAAGATACTGACGGAAATGTAAGGCTATTGTCCTTTACATTCATATCTGATCTTCTATCTTTTGGCAAGGTTACTACCAAAGCTCTCGCGCGCAACACGCGAAGGGTCTACGATGCTTGTTGCAGTGCGGAGAAGGCCCGTACTGCAACTGACGAGTTAAACGATGAAACCGGAAGAGAAGGACACTCCTTGGGAGTCGATTTCGCTGATTTGAATTCTATCAAGCAGAGTTTGTGAGGTAAGACCTCTCTTTAGACAGTAGATTCGTTTACTCATGTACAGCAAAGCAGAGTATCGGAGCGTCATGTTTTGCTCAAGGTAGTGAGTTCAAAGAGCCATTCCGAACACATCGCTTGGAGAGAACTTCTTGGGCCTTCAAATCCAGTCCCGCCTACCCAGGACTCGAGATGATAGAAGCGAATCTTCGACAAACCGTATCTGCCGCGACATGTTGTGAGGTAATATATTTCCCGTTCATCGGGGATCGGACAATATAAATCGTAGCAAATACGGTTCAATGTGTGGCCCCTGGTACGAACTAGAAATTGGGGGGGCTTCCGGCTGATCGGACTAAGTAAGTTCAAGTTTCTTCCCATGAACTTGGTCGTCGCCGTCTAACACTTTTGCGCTTTGCCATTTGGGTTGGCTACTAGATTTCAGCGTACCGCTTAACCTGTCTTGTCCAAGAGTGAACAAATGCCTCGCGGCTTCCGGCCTCTCATACTCCCATCGAAATTTCGTGCGCATTTCCTGGTACCTTTCGGCTTCTAAATAAGCGTGTCAGGTGTCCGGTAACGAGTCTAGTTTTTCAGTGATTCAAGTTGCAAAATGATTGATCTTTCCTGCGTCACGGTGTGCTTTGCAGAATTCCAGCCGGGATATATCATGGAAGTGATTTCCTCCCCAGGCAGCACTGATCGCTTAGGAGTAGCTGGGTTCAGCCAAACGAAGTGGACACTCCGTACAGGACCTGTCTCAAGAAACTGACTCGACGTGTTCTACTTATGGTCATGATATCAAAATCATGATCCCAAGAACCAGATGGCGGCGCCCAGTATCTGATATTAGGGTAGGACGTCTAAGGCCAATCAGTAACCGCCATCTAAAAAAAGATCATCGGCACGCTTAAAAACACCCAGCGTCAAGTCTATCGAACACTCTTCCTCCAACACACACATTACGCGATGTCTCCTGCCACAGTCCACCTTTCTCCAACGCCGGACTTCCTCCTGTTCTCTGGTATCGAAGTTTTAGCAATCTTGTTCACCATGGCTCTTTGGGGTAAGTGAACGTGTCTGTTGTCATCTTCGTTGCTCAATACAAAGACAGGAATATCCTGCTTGCAAATGTCGGTCTTCTCATCCGTACATACGCCACGATCAACTCATAGGGATCTGTCTGTCGCTCAGTTTTCTTTACTTTTTCAAGTATGATCCACGCAGAACCGATGAGCTCCCATGTTAACGATTGCATTTTTCACAGCAGTACACAGGAAGATAGTTGTTACATCAAGGGTTTGGTACGGCATTTAGCTGTCTGGTGCTCATGGCTGACTCATGACGCTCTACTCGTAGGTTATCTGGCTCTGGTCAGGCCTCATTCGCCATGTTTCCGCAGTATTTTTGATTTCTATGAATAGGTCCATGGATACAGTGCATCAAGGTCTTCTTATTTCCGGAGGTAAGTGTTAGTTTGTAATATCTCATCGGACGTTTTAACTGAGTGAGTGTCATCTAGTGTACAAAGCGATACGCGACAATGCAACAGCAAGTACAGATCATATTAGCTGGTATGTCCCTCCAGCTCAGAGATCCGTTGGTCGTTAAAGCATCCCGGTCTGCAGGGAGTATCTAGTCGGTATTCAATCATTATGAATGAATTTAACCTCTCTGATTTGCCCCAGATTCAAATCCTTTTCACGGTTAGGAAATCGCCTTGATCCTCCGTATATCTTGCATACTCATTGTCCTTCTGACTTTGCAGATTCTGGTCACCACGCCTGCCCAAGGGTTTTTTTCGTACCGAATCTGGATGTGTAAGACTATATTGCTCCAATAACGATGGGATTTAATATTTCTTCAGTCAGTAATAAAAGCAAACTTATCATTTCCTTCCTCGTATGCGTTTCCTTTTTACCCCTTCCACTCGTGCACTTCCTCAAATATTAACTCTCGAAGGCACCTGCCATCCTATTCCAACTTAGTGAGTGAATTTCCAGTTAGCTTTTGTATCGACACATATTGAAGAATTTATACCGTCTAGTCGACGGAATCAGTGAGTATAGAGAAACATTTCTACGCCATGTGTCGAGCCTTGACCCTAATATGTATAGTTTTCATGGCTATCAAGTGAGTCTCCGATGCTGCTTTCATTTACCACTTGATCGACATTATCATGATAGCCTTCCAGCGACAGACAAACTGCAATTTACAACCTCTACTAGCAAGGCAAGAACCTGAATTTCGGAATATTCAGTTGTCACAAGTTCTCATATTGATATCCAGGGCATCGCCATCGCATACTTCATCGACGGCGCCGTTGTAGATCTGTTTATCGCTATCGCTATGTGCTTATTCCTCTGGCGAAGATACCTTCGTATTGGCATCGCAACCAAGGGGTATGTTAATTGATCCATCTTTCCTCCCATCTAATCACCACTCCAAGGACGCGTTCTATGATTCACAGGCTCACCCTCTTCTCTATCAACACGGGCTCCTGGCCAGCCATCATAGCCATCATTACTTTGGTCATGGTACGAATTGAAATATCTTATGATACGAACCACCGAGTTCACTGTCCCTAGTTACTGGCGTATCCGACCTACTATCTCTATGCGGGACTCTATTTCTTTCTCTCACCTGTTTACTGTAACACCGTGCTCGCATCGATCAATGCGCGACCGTATATTCAAAGCGTGAATAATGGACGACATATCTATATCCCAAAGGTACTTTGTAGACTCTACAAATTTTGCCAAGTTCTCATTCTGAGCGGACTCTAGGAATCCGGACTTCAATTCGCAAGTCATGATTCTCAAGGCGTTTGCTCTAATCTTCATGGAACACCGCATGGACTGGAATTGGCGTCGTACAAAGTCGGTCCCGAGGAGTCGACGGAAGGAAATGACTGTCTGAACATCGTTTGAAGTTCTGGACATACTAAATGTATCCTAATAATGTGGCCATCGATTCCAGCAGCGTTCCTTGTTAGTATCCCGACCGTCAAGCCCAAATATACCTTTGTCTACGCATTTATTCCAAGGATCAGTGACGACTACTGCTTGGAAACAATGCTCGGATTACATCAGATTATTCTCAGTGATACAGATCAGTCACTACATACAAAAGCGAGTTACATACAATACAAACCAATCCGCTCATGTGCGTCCCTTGATGTTGTACAGCCATCCCAATATATTCTGCAGCACGTTTACCCCCTCACTTTTACTCCGGCACCCTCGAGTATGCCCTTCAATTTACCCTCGGCATGCAGCTTTGCCAAATCATCACTACCTCCGATAGAATTCCCTCGGACAATAACGTTGGGGAACGTACTATGAGATGTCAGACGCGTGAGAAGCGATTTCAATTGGATCGAGTCGTCTGTCAGGTAGAATGAGTAAGAAAGAGTACGACACAGAAACAGAAGTAACGCACCTCTCAAATCAACCTCGATGACCTTCATGGGTGGATCAAGGTCGTACGACTCTAATAGCGTCTTGGCTCGCTTTGAGAATCTGTTCGACACGAGGTGAGCGTGACGGATATCACTGTGAAGGACAGACTCACTGGCAGTAGCTCTTACTGAACACGACCACCGGGAACTGTTTATCCAACGCCTTCCTTTCCGCTTCCCAATCGACGTCATCACCCTCATCTGCAGCATAGATACGCATATCAAGCGGCTTCGTCGGGTCGAGCATCGTCATGCTGTGACTGAGGATATGCTCATGCTCGGCGTCGCCCGTCACCAGATGTATCAGCCCGTATATCTCGTCCACTGGACGTTTACGTTGTTTTGTCAAGGCCAGCTTGGCGACCGATGCTCGCGAAAGGACGGAATCACCCACGTCCTTGAGGGACTCGGGTAAGGACAGAGATGAACGGAAGTAGAGGACGAAGACGGTCAGGATGGCGAGGAAGATGACGAGGCGGCGACGACGGATAGGGTACGCGCCAGGAGAATTTTTTGGTGAGTTCATGGCTTGGTGAAGTGGGGTCGGTGTGCCAGCACAGGTTGTCGTGGAGGTATTTGAGGAACAAGCAGTGGCTGTGTCGGTGATGACCACGTCTATTTTTGTCGTGTCAATTTTTAGACACGATCGCCGACGGAAGAAACATGACCGGGCCCCGCGCCAGCAATTTGAATACCAGCCTCTGCCGTTTAAAGTCCTTACAACCTCAGTGGTCTCGCTGCCGCGATGCTCAGATGCCCTCACTGGAGACCTTGCTAGATACGCCTCGAACTGTTCATGTTGATCATTGGTCATCTCCGGGGTTCTGTGAATGCTATGCTATTGTCGCAGTGTATGTCTGGTTCTACACCTCGTAGTATTCTCCTCTTCCTATTCTGCTACGACAATGTTCGAAAGTGTGGAAATACAAGTTTATTCTGGTTTCAGATCGAATGGAGGTAGGCCATTAGTGCATATTGAAAGTAAGGCAAACCATTACACCAGTCGTTGTGACTTTCGCAGAACGCTTAGAAGCCGACTATTTGCTCCTCCAGGTACTCCCAAAGCTGACGTCCAAGGGCTTCGTTCTTGGTAGCTGAAAACGGTGCCCCGACTCGCGCCCATGGTTTCATATACTAAGTTCATCAGTTTTTTTCCCGGTAAACCAGCGTTACAAGTAGGTACTTACGCCACCATTTCTGAATCAGACATCGTCGCGGCATATAGCTGCGTAAGCCCTCCCATGTCTACTGGGTATAATATCGTTTTATTCTACAACATTAAGAATTAGAAAAGTTGGGTGATAATGAAGCAAACACGCATGCCATGATAGTTCGCTCAAAAGGTGAGATATGTCTCTGCATCTCCGACCTCAAGTTTCCCGGGTTTACTGAAATAGCGATGATCCCTTGATCTGCATATCTGCGTGCCAGTTCGGTGGTCCACGTAACCATAGCCTGGCATTGCTTTTTGGCAAGAGTCCACGTGCTGGGTATGCAACATACGAATTTGCTCTGCGAATACAACGCCATCTTGTTCATCTTACGACGTTTAGGACCGTCTTTGAATGTATCAAACTTGAGACCATTGACGAAGATGTGATTTAGCGAGGCTGTGTTGATGATTCGCGGTTTGAATTCGGGGTTGGACGTAGAGGTGGGCATCAGCGTAGGGATGAGAAGCTTGGTAAAGTAGAAGACACCTGAAGGAGACAGTTTAGGACTTGGGGTCAAGGACGTACAAGCGAATATTTCCGTACCGAGCATGTTGACACCGAACTGGAGATCGTAGCCTTGTTCGATCAGAGCTAAGGGGGGAGAGAATACACCACTGCGAATTATAAGTCGAGTCCGAAGGCATGCAAAGACTGATAAACCTATTGTTAAACAAAACATGAAGCTCTGTTTCTCGACTTGACCTGTGCATGAGCAAAGATTCTACTCTCCAAAGAAAGATTTCACCTTGTAAACTCCTCAGCGGCGCACTTGATGGAGTTCAAATCAGCGAAATCAACCTGTAGGAATAGTTCCTCTTTTCCGTTGCAGCACGGGCCTTCTCCACATTGCGACAAGCAAAGTAGACCTTCGCGTTGTGCGCCAGGAGAGCTTTGGCAGTAACCTTGCCTATGCCTAGAGCAGATAAAATGTCAGAAGGGTGTGTAAAAGAAGATAAACACTTACCAGTGTTGGCACCTGTGACGATCATGACTTGTCCGGAGAGATAAGGAAGCTGATCTACAGAAAATTGAGGCTTCGGAGGGAGACATTGGTCGATGAACATATGTATCCTGCAGTCCGAGTCAGTGTTGGAGGTACGCATGGTGGGATTGTTGTCGTTCTCTCATATCGGCTTTGTTGGTATAAGGAGGCGCTGACCCTGAAGGATAGGGCGCAAGACGCGTATGTGCCATGCCGACGATGCCGTCATCAGTGCAAACTCGGCTCGAAAATCTGGAAAACCATGTATCCACCGATCTCTGTGTCAGGAACACCCGACCATGAAGAAGGAAAGTCTGTCAAAGCGCCGGATGCATTGGATGACTCCCAGGGTCGGCCAGGCATTATTACTCGAGATGTCCACCAAACCCAGGCAGTGGCCAACGAATAATCATCTCAATTCAAGACTACTTCAATTCCATGTATGAGAGCACAGCACCGGTTATAATTCATTACTCACCAAAGGTAGATATAGGTTCAGAAGGGAGTGTACGATATATCTAAGGGGACCTTTATCCAAACACCGGCCATGCTGCACTATATGTTGGAATACACAGTTGCCAGCCCTCCTGTGTAGCGCGACAGACGTCCAGGACTAGGTTCGCTATGCCCTGCAAAAGAATTATTCAGGTAATAGTCTGGATTAATGAGAGGCAAACTCACGATAATCCCAACAAATATAACTTGACATCATGAAGCAACCGGCTTTGCCTGGGGTAAAGCATCCAACGCCTGCTTTCCGAGCTTGGCCCAGTCGCGTAGAATATCAGGATTGGTGTACCACTGCGACACCTCAGCAATCTGGCCTGATGACAGTCCCCCTTCTTTCACCCACTTAGCAACGTCGTCCTCGCCCTTAATACGGTCAAGGATACCAATAACGGCCAGAAGAGTCTCGTCATCGTCGTCCATCCCCAAAGAAAGACTGCTCATCTTCGCTACCAAGTCGTCCCCTTTCTCTGCCACGCCTCTAGCACAGTGCACGTATTCCTCCACACAGATATGGTTATATGGCTGCATACGCGCCTTCGACGGGGAGTCATCCAACAGAATCGTATTCTTCCCATCGAAGCCGCCCAACGACGCCCAAACACGAGAAAGGTCCTTGGTTGTCTGAGTTTTGCGACCATATTCGACCTTCGACAAGCCCATTTGATCGCGTGTCCACACTAATTTGAGTTTATTGACATGTTGTCCGAATGCCCGTTCTACCATCCATCCAACATTCTTTGGTTGAGCAGAACTCCAGACCATCGTGTCGAGCCATTGTCGAGTGGCGGGATGAAAGAGATAGGAAGTGAAAGAAGAGAGGTATGGGCGGGGATAGCATGTACGTGTCTTTTTATGTTTTGGTCGGAAGAGAAGGGTGCCATTCAGATCGAGGACGAGTAGCTTGCGCTTGGTAGTCATGGAAGGGTAAAACTTTCGCGTTAGAGCATGCCGTGGGAAAATATATGCCGCTTATGATGCCGCGGCACTGATTCCCACGAGTATCGATAACGGCGAAACGACGACGAAAAACAGCAGGGAATTCAGTCAAGGCGACATCTTACAGGAAAATACTGTATCATGGGATTATCTCCTTAGGTCCAAGAGCGAGGGTCGTCTCAGTCATGGCTTCAATCAGTAATACAAAATATTCCATCGATATTGTTAACCCCTGGAAAAGAAAAAAAAATATAGAGACGACGTTTCTACAAGCATATTTGGAGAGCAATGAACATTTAAAAGTGCACATTCTAAGTTCAAAGAACATATTTGAAGTCCTTCTGCTGGAAGTCTGTCAGATCTTCAAACGCGAACTTGTTGCCCGTCTCTTCCTGATCCTCCGCCTTCGAGAGCTCGTCGTCACCTTTTTTGGAGGCTGATGGAAAGGGGGTCGACGACGTGAGGAGACCGTCCCGCCTTTTATTCTCAGCGTTCAAGATGTATCGCAACGCGAGAGATGCGACAGACACGACTGAAAATTGGCGTGAGGACACATATATCATGTAAAGAGACCGATACATACAGCACATGCACACGATGATAGCGATCCAAGTCGATTTATAGTGGATGTGGGCTTCGGGAGTCAAAACAACTGCAGGCAAGCAAGTCGGGAAACTAGTCTTCGAAGATTGTGCAGAAATGACTTACTGTATCCTCCTATAATATTACCAACTGCATGCCGGCAAACAAATCAGCATTAGAAGATATGGAGTAAACAGAATACCGACCATTATAACCAATGAAAATCATGCCACTGCAAATGGCTTTCTTCGTTCCTCCGGCAACATTGGCAGCGGCCAAAGATAGAATCAGAACATAAGGGGCACCAAACGACGCTACGAGGTAATACCCCCACAGCGGTAGAGCTCGATGTATCCACGATCCTTTCCACACCATAACGGCACCGATAATCATTGGCCAACAGGTGATCGGTAAAAGATAGGTGCGGATGTTCTTATACCGCCCAGCAAAATATCCAGATATCCAGATAGTGAGACAGGTCATCGCGCCACCTACAAGGATTATTATACGCTCGCATGTGGAATAATTGGACATACCAGGTATCTGCAGGAGTATGGCATTCAACGAGCTGTACCCGAACGAGGTAATGATTCTCGCCCCGAACTTCGCGTAGGTAAATTTCAAAACCAGAGTGCAAATAGGACAATGCCTACCGCGGTGACGCCACCGTTGCACACGTAGATAGCCGATGCGCAAAGCAAAAATAGCCAAAGCTTGATATCTCTGATGGACTCGAAGACTTGATCCCATTTCCACTGCGTTTGATCTTTTCCTGTCATGTTAGAAGCTAAACGTTGCTTCAACAGAACTTTTTCTTCTTCCGTGAACCATCGACCGGGCTCGTTTGGTGAGGTGGGTATTACCAGTAGAACGACGACCGACCAGAGGATAGTCCAAGAGCCGCCAAACAAGTACCTGAGAAGGACCGGGCCAAGTCAGGGCAATAACGAGAGAAGGGATGAAGTACGAACATATATTTCCACGTTGCTAGCTTTCCTGAAGCGTGTCCAAGGCCGTAGTTAATTAGCCCCGAGAACATGCTGAATATTCCCGTAGCGCTGTACCATATACCAAGCCTAGCCGTTTCTACAGGGCCGTGAACCATTGAAAAAGCGAGGCCAGGGTGGGACAATCTTACGCTCTTTCTTCGTATACCACAGTGCAGTTATTGCAAGGAAGCCTGGAGATACTGATGACTATCAGTCCGAACCAGACTGAGTAAAATGTTTCTTGGGGTAAAAAATCATTACGCCACCTCAACTATGCCTAGAAAAATCCTTTGTACGACCAAGCCGGGATAACTCGTCACGACGACGGTGAGCATGCAGATGACTCCCCAGAGGAAGATGAACGCCGATAGAGTCTTTACAAGGGGGACCCGCTGCAGGATGAGTGCAATTGGGAGTACCCCCACGATGTATCCATCTAACAAAAGATGGTTAGGATAGATGCACGCCTGCGTGACGATTAATATTTACAGTAAAACGCAGCGTTAGCCGTCGAATACCGTTGGGTAGAAGTGACTCCATTGTGCTTTGTGGACAGGTGCTACGATGACTTCCATGACTTTCCGTGAAGAATTGAGATTATAGAGACCTACCAAGTCTTCAATGATTCCAAAAACTGATGCTGACCCCAGAACGGCTTTATCGTAAAATTCTATGCAAAGGTGATTATTGAGTAACCGAAGCGCGACTATGTGATGAGACTCACGGAGGCCATATGCCACAGTGAGAACTGGCATTACTGGGAAATATATCAGACTTTGATAAAACCTCCGAGCACGGATACAACTCACAAATCAGATCGATCTTCCAGACAAGCTTCCTTTCAGCAGACTCAGTGGTTCCCGACATCTTTGGAGGTCGCGAGTAGGATGTAAATACCAAAGGAAACTACAGGCCAGATTAGTCGTGCGCTCGTAAAAATTTCATAACGCAAGCATATCTGCCCGCTACAAAGAGGATAACGATAATGCCATCGTCGCTTTGAAAGAGTTGCAGGGAAAAATGTCGGGTAGCTCGGGTCCCGAACGGTTACGGAACCCCGGGCCTCCATTCCGTGCCGCTTTGCCGTGGACAAGTCCGAATCAGGGTCAACTTTCGTCGTTCTAACCTTTTCTAAGCTCCTCCCTTTACATCACCACAACTTGAGCTTTTCGTTTCCGTGGTGGATCTCATCATTAAATGATGGGCTGTGAGTCTAGTCCTGTAACCAATCCATGCCTTTTGGGGGGACAGGCGAGCCAAGACAGACTTAGATGCCGGTACCCTCTTATACTATACCTATACCCCTGGAACTCTTCCCGACCATCGTCCTATCATGCACTGGACAAGCTCTACCATCCTGATAGTCAACACTGCTCTCTTTCTGGCTGGGGTTGTCATTGTTCGCAACCTGTACAATCGACGTCTTGGACTTCCATATCCTCCCGGCCCGACACCCAGCATCATTCCATTTGTTGGCAACCTACATGATATGCCAACAAAAGCAGGTGATCTAATTAGTTGACGCGTTTGTATTCAATCGACTGACTTCTTCGTAGGATGGTTCGAATTCACGGAATGGGGGAAACTGTATGGTATTGTTGCTTCAGCTTTGACCCCATTTACGCTCACAGCTGCTCACCTTAGGGCCGCTTGTTATGCTCGAGGTCATGGGTCAAAAAGATCTGTATCATCAACATGATTCGCACCGCGACAGATTTGCTAGATGCTCGGTCCGCTGTATATTCCGATAGACCACAAATGCGTATGGTTAGAGAATTGTATGACGGCTTTTCCCTTCATCTTGAAAAGGACTAACTTTTATGGAATGGGTTGGGAATTCAACGTGGGATTTCAAAACTACGGTCCCAAGCATAAGAAAAGTCGGAAACTATTCCATCATGGCTTTAATGCCAGAGCATCGGACACTTATCAGCCAATCCAAACAACAAGCTGCATCCTTGAGCAATACTCTTTTTGAATGACTTATCGACGGAAGGAAATAACGTTGCTCCTAGAGAAACTCCTATGATGTCCGGAGCAATTCGAAGAACTTCCGCGAGAGTGGGTCCCTCGAACCATACACAATTTTACGCTTAATGCTTGTTACCGTAGAACTACTGGATCTATCATTATGATGATCGGTATGTGGTAACCTAATCTTGAAGGCTTCAACCATCGACAGGATTCTTCCTTTTTAACCAGCCTTCGGATACCAGACGGTCAAGAACGACGAATTCGTTCGTATAGCAGAAGAGGCCCAATTTGCTATGGTCTCCGCCGCTCGGCCGGGGCTTATCTTGTTGATTCCATCCCGTTCCTCAAATACGTTCCCAAATGGTAGGCTCCACGGCTCGTGTCGAAAGGCCTTGAGGCTTATTTTGTTTATTGAACAGGTTTCCTGATGCCCATTTCCAGCGCGTGCTCGAGAAGGACGAAAGCTAGCCGAAGACCTACAGAACAAACCTTACGCATGGGCTCGGAAACAGTTCGACGAAGGCAAAGCGAAACCCAGTTTCTTCACATCGATCATGGAAACCAAAGGCTTGTGTTCGGGTGATCCTGTGGAGAAAGAGCAGCTGATCAAGAAAGCATCCGCACTGATGTATGCTAGTGAGTGCTTCGATGATGCCCAAATTATGAACATATCTAGAGTTTTGCTCCCAGCTGATGCTGATACTATTTTGGCCTCTGTTCTCAATTTCTTCCTCGCAATGCTCCATGCCCCGGATGTTCAGAAAAGAGGAACTGTCGCGGGTAGTTGGGAATGATCGCCTTCCTACTTTGCTGATCGTCTTCTTTGCCTTACATTAAGTGCATCGTCAAGGAGACCCTTCGGTGGGAGCAAGGTACGGCACTAGTGCTTTTAGATAGGATCGTGAATGACGGCAGACCCTAAAACGACAGTCATCCCGCTCGGCGTTCCTCATCGCCTGATGAAAGATGATGTGAGCGACAGTTGTCTTGTTACATATTTTTACTGATTTTTTCAGGTTTATGAAGGGTACTTTATTCCAAAAGGCACCACCATGATACCCAATCAGTATGCCATGGCAAGTCTAGAGCCCCTTTCCGTGAAATTTCTAGTTACTGATTTTCTTGACAGTCGTACGACGAAACCATGTACTCAGGACCCCATGGTATACCGCCCCGAGCGTTTCATGGAAGCTCCGACTGCTAAAGACGGAGGTCCGCGTGACCCGAATACCATTGCATTTGGCTGGGTATGGCTACCAATAGCTTAGTTCGCCTGCACTTTCTGATTCATACACGCAGGGGCAGCGCATCTGTCCTGGCCGTTTTCTTGCTGAAAATTCGCTCTGGCCTCATGCGGCTACGACTCTTGCGTGTTTCAATATATCGCCTATCATTGGAAGTGACGGTAGATTTGTCATTCCTCCTAGAGATTACACATCTGGGCCCGCCAGTCCGAAGCCTTTTTCTTGTCATATTCGGCCACGAAATCCTGGGGTTGCGGAGCTCATCAAAGACAACATTGCTTCTGTGGAGAGCCAATGAGCCGGGTACACTGTTGGATTTCAATCGCTTTGTTTTGGCCAGGGTTCGATGAAGTCCCCAATGCTGTCGCCTTCCTCATCTTGAATGTTAATTTTCAACTTAACCTCACTCTCCCTTGCAGTTCCTATTTATCCTTCATCTATCTTCTGCCTTCGCAGCCTCTTGAAATGATTCTCTTTTTTTCTGTACCACCTAGGCGTTTCGGAATCACCGGCTCTAGCCCGTCTTCTCTAATTAATCACAATACTATCTTTCAATGGTTGGGAGCAGTTGTTCTTTTGAGACCGCTGCTTGAATTCCATTGTATCTGCAGAGTACAGTCTTGACAATTCAAGTAGGTAATATTCTGACCCCTCCCCCCGCGGCGCACAACACCTCGTCGGACTTTGGAAAGGGAATTTGGCGCGCAAATCCGCCGCACGGACATTGCCTTTATGTATTAATTAAGCTAGCCAATACACTAGCAGAAGACATTGACGTTTCATCGCTTTCCCCGAAGGTATAGTAGTCGGATTGTGGTGCATGAAGATACACGTCAGGTACCGACCTGCAGAAATTTACGCGTAATGGGGGTGATAAGCGCGGTTCTCTGAAAGACATATCATGCGGAGTGGCGGTAGTCCATTGAAGAATTCGCGCCAGTGCCGTTGTGTTTCAAGAAGCTGAGTCCACGAAGTCGAGCTTCGACAAAGCTTCGAGTATTGAACGAAGATTTGATAATGTATGATGAATACGACATGTGAGCATTCGAACATAGGACACGAAGGCACTTCTGCACCCTGAAGTGAAGCATGTGGTGACCGTGATACAGAGTAACGAGGACAAGGTAAAGTGCGAATATGGTAGAACTTGGGCCGGCAACGCGGCCCATTCCCGCCGGAAGCGAGGCCACGTGGGAATGTATCTCAGTCGATCTGGGGCATTTCGCGTTTGTCAGCGACCACCATCAGCGACCACCCGAGGCGCATCATTGTCGTCGGTCATTGTCGTCGGCCGTCGTTGTTCAGGACGGCGACGACGACGACAACTGCGACGACCGCCAAGGAGAAACCGGCGATAACTTAATATTACCACCACCATCTATCACACGAAATTCGGACTTCTCCCGTTCCATCAGTACCTTCGCGCCATTCTCGAATTGCCTATTTATCAGCTGACGGTTCCCACTTTTCAGGGCTTCCTCGCTCAGGGCGCCGTTTCAGCCATCTTGGTTTCCTCTCTCCTCTCAAGATGACGGTAGATCCCTTCGCTGTGTCCACGAAACCGACACCAGAGTCGTTGGCCATCGATGAGAGCATCCGCCTTGAGAGGAAACGCCTGAAAGACAACCCAGTGGTCAAGGTTCTCCTGCTGGGACAGAGCGAGAGCGGGAAAAGTACCGTAATCAAGAGTGCGTCCATCAGTCACAGGCTTGTTAATATTGTTCTAACTGATTCAGATTTTCGTCTCGCCCACGACGCCGCCTCGTTTCGCGCTGAGAGGGCGTCATGGCGTTCTGTCATCCAGCTCAACTTGATACGCTCTGTGGGAATCATACTAGATGCCCTCGACGACATCGAACAGCTACCACCCGACTTGCGTCTTCTTCGCCTCCGCCTCATCCCGCTCAGGCGCGTCGAGACAGATCTTCGTCACCGACTCTCAGATTCTGCTATCCCGGTTACACCAGAGCTATCAGTTCGTTCTCTTGCTCAACTCTCCCATTGCCCCGATCCTGTGTCTCTATTACGAGAAAGTTCCGAGGCTCAGGATGTCATCACGTCTCTGCGAGAAGACATTCGACATCTGTGGCTCGACGAACGCGTCCGCAATGCACTACGACGGAAAGGCATTCGCATAGAAGAAGGGGCTGGATTGTGTGTATTTTTAGCAAGCCTAACAATGATGCCAACTGATCCTCTGCTGAATAGTTTTCTAAATGATCTCGACCGAATAGCCATCTCATCCTACACGCCCTCTGATGATGACGTCTTACGTGCACGACTGCGTACGATGGGCGTGCAAGAATGGCGAATCCCATTTCCGCCGGGTGAGTGTTCTATTTTGAATGTATGTAATGCGTGCGATTAATGTCTCGGTAGCCCCAGGTCAACACCCTTCCTTTTCGCATCCTTGGGCTCTCTACGACGTCGGTGGTGCTCGTACACAGCGACGCGCCTGGCTTCCGTTTTTCGATGGTGTGAATGCAATCATATTCCTGGCCCGTGAGTACACTTCTCCGGCAGATGATTTGCCTTTTCGCCTTCTATCTCCTCGGCTTCTCTTCTCTCTGGCTGATATTCTGCTGCTAGCTCTCTCTCCGTTCGACACTCCGCTTCCCGAAGACCCCAGGTTTGGCTCATTGCCTGTTTGGCTCCCTGCTTTTCTCTCTGACCGCTATATTTAGTGTAACCCATCTCGACGACACGCTAGCTCTCTGGCACGCTATCACCTCTACGCCCCTTCTAGCGCGGTCGACGCTGATTGTGTTCCTCAACAAGTGTGATCTACTGAAACGGTGACGTTATTTCCGCTCTTCTTTTCTCACTGTGTACTAATCTGTAACTGCCTTCTAGTAAGCTCAAGTCTGGTGTTCGATGGGGTGACTGGGTTCGCGGGTATAAGGGGGAAGAGGAGGTAGGGGCTGTGGTGAGATGTACGTCTGATTTGCTTTCTACTTGGGTTTGCTGAGTGACCCTCATCTTGGTAGGGACGCGAGAACGGTTTCGAGAGATCGGGCGTACGAAAAGTCCGCCTGCTGCAAAGGGACGGACGACATATGTCTACCCGACAAGCGTAACAGACACGAAAGCCACGGCGGTTACGTTGAAAAGTGGTACGTGCACAGAGTTCTAGCGAGGAATGAAACTTACGGGTCTCTGTGAAGTTCGTGATGGGATATTGAGAGAACATCTGAAGATGGCCGAGTTTGTTTAGAGTGGCGGCGTGGGAGTGGAATGAATTTATGGACATGATATACTGTTTTTATTTATTGAATTGTTGTTGTACGTTCACATTGGTACTAGTAGTGTTTTATGTAAATGAAAATTCATAACGGCCACAGTGAGGCTGGTGCACGTAATGTACCTATGTGCCTGTGGAAAGCCCATACTTATTCATCCCTACTGTCCAAAAGGTCAGCTCAAAATCCGTGAAAACGCAATGACCTCAGGTCAGGGTGTACAGTCCTTCCGACGCGAGTCCTTATGTCCGTGATCGATTCAACAATTCAAAATGTGGATATGGGGCACAACGTCGATTCACAAATCAAGCATCCTGAGCCAGCATTGCAGAGTTGCAGACTCGTAATTGCGCCTTGGAGGACTGACTGCGTAGTTTCGTCATTCTGGTTGATAGCGAGCATTCTCATTCAAGCCATGGAAGAAATCATTGTCACGTTCATTCCAAAGGTGGGAATGCAGGTCCTCACAAATGCCTATGTAGATACAAGCAATGCTAACGTGAGGTCATCGTATCATAGATCATCCGTTATGCGGTACATACGAGGCCATCATCTTTCATATCACGTATAGCGGACCTATGCAGGATGACGGCTAAAACGATGAAGCAGTGCCATATGCAATGGGATCCTGGGATTGCGTAAGGACATATGCAGAGCAAGACACGAATAACTGACCTGCTCCGAAGGCGTCTAATCGCTGGCGCCATTTATCAGAGAGGAAGCGTTCGGGCACATGGCTCACGTAAAATATCAGTCCAACAACGTAGGACAAAAGCGAAGGTATGACGGGAGCTGTGAGGTGATCACTGAATAAAAGATGAGTGACAGATGCGCATACTACTCACAGACAAAGTAAAATGTCTCAAGGGGTGAGTATAACATTGAGTACGTTGTTAGTGGTGCGATGGATGAAAGGGCGAGTGACACAAAGAAAAGGACGCGCCAAATCTGCGACGACACCGGTTAAACTTAAGGATTAGAAGCAGAGCGAACGAAGAATGGGACCATACCCGATTTTCGGGGCGATTGAACCATTCCATGAAAGGGAAGATGTTTCCGGCCAGTCCCGTTGTTAAGCATAAAGCCAAGAAGATCTGGTTGATGCTGGGATGACACTGGAATCCGTAGTACACGACCGAAGCAACGCTTGCACTAATCAGCCTGTCGGTTCCAAATTAGTGGTAACGCGGCATCGGGTACAAGTCAAGACATACCATCCAATCCCGATGTAATCTACCTTGGCGCAAAACTCCATGCTTCCGTGATGAGCACATCCCGACATGGTGTGCCACACCGAGCTGCAGAAAAAGCAGACTAGGACAAAAGCCATGAAAATCTTCTCCGGCGTCGGTGCTTTGATGAATCCAGAATCGAAAAGTGGTATTGAATTAATCCCAAAAATGAGGAATGGTATCAGGTGGGTATGTATGTTAACTTTGCAGAATTATCAGTAGGAGGGGTGGTCTGTAAAGAAGTCACCACGTACGTGTTTCGTTATGGAATGCAAATAAGGATAATATGATGAGAGGCCATCTCTCTATGGGTATAAACCTTACGAAGTTGTTAAATACATAGGACAATGGGCGCAGTGACTACTACTCACCTATAACCTTGGGTAACAAACGGGTTGTTACGCCATTTATCAGGAAGGTCAGAGTACTGGATCAAGTGTACTCCCTCAAATGAGCTCCTGATAGCTCTGGCTACGTCCGCCGTCGCTCGCTCCATCATGGTGTCCCCAACATGAGCAACATGTAGGTTTTCCGACGCATCCGCGAAAGTAGGTTCAAGGAGAGTGACAGAGCGCGACCTGACTGCTGCCAGGGCAACGAAAAGTCCACTTGAGGATACCTGAGAGTACAGACGGTGTAGCGAGTTGAAAAGCCCTGTGACCGGTTGTGCGCTGTCAAGAGAAAGGTCCTGGTCCGAGTCGGATGATGATTCAGGCTGCTGCGCTGTCGAGAGCCTCCTTCGACGCGTCTGGCTGCCATTATAGGAGAGGTCCATGTAAAAATGAGGTAGAAACAGAAGAGAAAACGAAGCGAGTGTAGGGTCAGCAGTAGTTAAAAAGACGAAACGCAGTGGACATGGTGTCATGCAGTTTGCATCATCGAATAAAAATCGAGAAGCCAGGGCGCCGCTGCTGCAATTTCCCCATTTGGCCTCATTTACCCCTTCTTGGTGTCCTCCTCCCTTGATCTCGAACAGCAGAATGCAAGAGCATTTGTTCGGAGCATGAGTCACTTATAGACTAGATTATTCGCTGTAAGAGTAGAAAACATACGACTGGGACGCCGCAGAGTACATAAACGGGTATAATTAATCGAGTTCGGTGGTTATCTTCACAGTTGACCTCGGTAGCAAGGGAGGAACCGCAAACTGCTGGTAGTAGTCTTTGTTGACCTCCGGGGTCTCAATGTTGTGTCTAAGATTTTCGTGAGAACGTGTTGGATGATATAGAGCACCACGGATCCTTACACTTTCCGTACATGCACTTTCATGCGGAGACAAGTATCGGGCTTCTTCTCCTCCGACGTATCACGACAGTGCAGGCATAGCCAGTGCTTGGTATGATATTCTGTGCTGAGAACGATACATTCCGGACTTTTCGTCGCCTCAAGCGGCACCAGCCTAACATGTGTGTCTAGTTCCAGGGATTCATAGGGATCTCTCGTCTTTAAAAGATGATCCACCTGCACCGAGGTCAACGGCGAATGTCTCTCGTTGGTAAAGGGTACGCACATATTTCCTCCAACCAAATAAACGGAACGTATCGTCCTCGTCGTCCGTAATGACGAAGCCCTTGAAATCCATACACAGAAGGGCATGTCAAGCAGCGAAAATACGTCTTTAGACCATCAAGCTCCGCTGTCGTGGTCGTTTCGGGGTCTAGGTCAAGAATACGAATGATATCCTTCACTATCTTCGTCAGCTGCTCGTTTAACAGCAAACTCTCTGCGCTCCAAGGCTTCCGATACCGTGCCTGATATGAGGAAAATGGAATATGTATGACAAGGGTAGGGTCTAGTTTGGCTGAATTATCGCTTTTGATCTTATGGACGATTGATTCGGTGAGACAGCGGTGAGCAAGTACCTGAGGATAAAACTGTGGGGTGTTGCATATACTGCAGTAAAGGACATTCTGAGCGAGGCTGAGGTGCTTTGTGGAGTCAATTGTGCCAGGATCTGGAAAGCGCGCTAGCAATTGGCTATCTAGAGATGATCTCCATTCATCGCATAAAGCTGGGAGCGAGGAAACGAGGGGAGAAAAAGTATCGGCATCGACCACCACATCTGTGGGGCGGTCAAGAATCTCTTTGATGGACTTGAATGTATAGAAATCGGCAAGTCCGGGCAGGACTTCGGTGTAGGGATACCGAGATGTAGAGGTAGTGTAATCACGGATAACTTTAGCCAGCAGGATTTTCCTAGGCCGAATGACCTGGTCGTTTTCGCGTTCAAGACGTGTGTTTCTAATGTCTTCCATGTATGCGATAATGTCGTCCTTAATATTCAGCCAGACTGCGAAGCTTTAATCTTGGAACGGAATGGGAGACAAGCGTGAACTCACTTCGCTCGGTTAACAATCGATTCTGACAGACCAAACGGTGTTTTATGAACGCATACATTTGGGCGTCACCCATCTGTTCAAACTCCGTGATATACCCGAGTTCTCCTAGTTTTTCCAAGATCCTACATCCTTGAATGAACGACAGAAAAAAAGTGATAATATTTGAGCGTACGAATATAGGCGGTAGCTTCTGACTTGACGCTGTTCTTTTTCTCGCTCCTTTTCGTGCGCGCACAACCATTCCACACTGCGTTCAACATGCTGCAACAAAATGAAGGAAACTGAGCGGAACGAAATAAGGAGTACTCACAGCCATGTGATCTAATACTAATTGTCTCCTCTCCGCACGATATTTCTTCTTCTCTTCGTCATTGAAGGAAAAATAACGTTGAGTGACCTTGTCAACGTCTCCTTGGTAGCACATAAGCTCTCCGGTGTACGGTTTCTTTGCTAAGAACGAGAACATCAAAAGAAAGACAGTACGAGGAGTAAGGAAGCTCACTTCCAGGGCGCAAGGGCACTAGACTCATGATCTTGTTGGTTAACTTTGGGTCAGACGTCTTTATCAATCTCACGGGTTTGACGCTATTGAAATATCTATGACTCCGAGTGAATGATATTTGACGCGTAACTCACTGACTGTCCATACACCTGGCGCATATACGGATACTGAAAACGAATTCGATATTGCGAACATTGGAATTCATACAGACCTGAAGAAGTAGCTTTTAGTCAAGAGACGCACGGATTTATAGTTACTTACGTGGCACCGCGACATGAAAATAAGGTTCGCCCAAGCAGGCTCTGACATTCCTGGAGCGGGTTCGGGGAGGCCCGGAATATTCGAGCGCGCTTGTCTTCCACGCCGACGCCGAAGAACGGCTGATTAACACCTTGCGAATAACTTTTGTTGACCTCGCCAGTTGCAGTAGATCAACTGGCTCTAGCCATCCAAAAATCTATCCACATATAAGAGACAGGTCGACACGGTTCTCAGCCTGTTTGACGCGCACCTCGAACCATATATCCAGAGGCATGTCCGCCAACTGGGTGAGTCCTCCTCTCGAGCATCGGTTTCCGGCTCTTTTCTTTTCTTGACCATCATTCTTGGAAGACTCAACTTTGCCGCGTTTTCGAGGAGGCATGAGGAAGATGGATGTTGCAGATCAAGTGTAAACAAAGAATCCTCCTTGGCCTGATTAGGAGGCGGATCAGACGCGTGACGTCACGCGGCGAAATCACGCCCCTTCTGAGCCTAAAAAGGAATTGCAACCAGCGCTCTCTTCCTACCACCAACTATCCACAGCCTCACGTTCTTTCTACCAGCTCGTACTTGCATTTCTACGTTCGCTATGAATATCGCCATTGTGATGCCGCTCCTACTTGTTCATCCGTTCGCATAAGAACCGACCTGTGCAATCCCGCGTGGGCCTTGCAACCAACCGCCTTCTACATTCGACGCCTAGCTGGCATTTTCACCCGTCCACGACTACCGCAATTTCCTTTTTCGAGAAAGACTCTGGCTCCTCCGATCTTTTTGTCGATTCTTCCCCATCGCATTGGTATCGCCCGGCAGACGACAGCGCTACTGGCTTGCTTCGTTGCATGACAACATTTGGAGAAGCAGACGACGGTGCTAGTGGCAGCCCTGCTGAGACAATCCAGAAACCATCTGACCACTGTCAAGCTGCCGGTGGATTCGGGAAGGGCGATCCAAATTCACACTCGCAAGATCTTCGACTGTCATTCAGGCTCCAGAAGACTCTCGTCTTGAACATGAAGAACGCAGCATCAGTTTTTCCGCTGGAGTTGGATCTGCAGAAATTTTGGAGCACGCAGGAGGAGAAAGTCAGGATGGTCAGCGTTTGGGAATTGATGGATTTACTGTAATATATGTAACATACATTTCGCTGCTGGCATCTGCCGGGTTCGGTATTTCATCCTATCATTTTGTATTCCAGTCCATATGAACGATGGTGCTTAGGCGTGATTCCAAGAGGACCCCAATCTGTGAGCCGAATTCGTGTTAACCAAAGTTTCGACAATGCTAGGTTAGAGGAGATGATCAATTGCAATGCCTGTAGAGAACGATCTTGACTTCATCAAGGGGACGCTGAGGAGACCTTTTAATTATGCCAAGTCCTGCAATAGGGCCGCCGAGCGGCAGAGCCCATACCTTACGATTCTTTCCCACAGTATAATAATTCAAGAGATATAGGTTCGACGGTAAGTATTGCTACAGATGGTGCAAGATAGCGATATACTGGATGTACGGGCAACTCCACGCAGCCACCGACAAGACACGAATGAAGAATCCTGACCAACGATACTAATGGCCCGGACTGTTATATCTTCTACAGTAACAGATGGAAATGTGAATGACATGGAGAAGAGCATGTAACTTACATTAACCTTACAGGGAGGTCAGCGAAGGAGGTCAAGATGTCGGTGCATAGCATATATACTATACTAGGCATTTTCGCTCGGCTGTCAAGGGTGAAAAAAAGCGCCAAAAAGGCAGGAGAGCACTGCTAGAGAAAGTGGACAGAGAATCCTTTGTGTCGCAAAAACGAAAGGAAAAAGGATGGTCGAACCCTCGGTTTGTGACACGCCTGAGCATAGGACCGACAGAGTGGTCCATCGTTCAATACACACGTCCTGCCAAAAAAATGTTCGACGAGTAAATCAATGTAGAACCTTTCGCGCCCACACGAGGTCTTGAGCAAAGGACCATGACCAGCGAGTTGGTGAACAATTGATGTGTAAGAGCAACGCAGAGGGAAGCTTTCAGAACCTGGAAAGCCGAACAAGCGTTACATCGAACGAAGACATTCGAGTTCGAGGGGTACAGAACCTGAGGAAATAAAATGAAATGCGTGCAAAGACAATACAGCTTACCCCCATCCACCCCCGAATGTGGAAGGAACAACAACCAATCCGGTCCCGGATGCACGTCTGTGTTGGTGTCCATTGCCTTGGTCAAGGCCAACTAGGATGTACGAGATGTGTCGAGGAGAACGGTGGCGAGACCAGAACGAACACTACCACAGAAAGAAACCGAGCATTGACTACCATCAACAGTACGAGTTGCAGGAATCATAGCAACAGACGAATGGGGGAAAGGAAGGAACAGTGACGATGTCCCACAACGGCCATTAATCACTGAAACAGAACAAGAGCAACTGCCAAGCGAGCACCTGTCCAGGCGAATGACAACGAGAAGTCCAATTATTGTCCGCTGATTAAGGAGGGATAAAAATGAATTAGATCCACAGAATCTACCACAAAATTTGGTGCCGTTGGTGTTCTTCCACCAAGGTACTTAGCGGGAATTTAAATACTTCACGGGAAATGCCGATGTCGGATTTACCTGCCGAATTTTTGGAGACATGCTCCAACTTCCTTTATGCTCGACCAGCTCCCCCCTGAACTCGTTCACGTTATTATCTCAGAATTTTGGTATTCTGAACACCCCTCGGATGATAGAATTATATTCATGAAAGCATGTCCCCTCATCAACACCCTCTGGAAGGATGTTTTTGCCCACATCGCTTCTCGGGACATTTTCGTTCCAACGAACGAATATCTGTTCTATCTCGGCTCAATCATACGCAATAACGACTCTCTAATCTACAGAATTCATCTCCCCAATTCCACTCGTACGATTACTTGCCATGTCGACTTGGTTGAAGCAAATAAGGATGCAGCGCAGGAACCGTACACAGCCCTATCCAATCTGCCTAATTTCATCGGTTTTCGCAAATGCTTTCCAAATATCACCCAAGTCTTCCTCGAAATCACGTATCGCATCCGAGGCAGATGGTTCCGTTTCATACTGTCTCAAGAACAAACCATTCGGACTCGAATATCCATAACACTTGACCAAGCGACGACGCAGCTCAGTGCCTTACTTGTGGACTGGGAAATCGCTGCTTACGACCCGGCACCCGATTTTATCCATGGAGAATTTGCCGACCCTAATTGGAGAATGTTTCTGAAGGATGTCGCTCGTGCTATGGCCCCTGCCGCGTTGTACAAATGCATCGGAGCGATCTCGTTCGAGGACATGTTATCACGATCGACGTACATAAATCGTGTCAAGCGATTTTCTGGCCATGGCGTCCATACCGAGACGAAAGGCGATGTACGAAGCATAAATTATCGCTTCGGGAAGGCAGTCCGAAGACCATTCGGTGAGACTATCTCTTTCTTCTGTTTACCCAAAATCTTATTCTTAGTGAGGTTTACGGACGTTCTTTGCGGAAGTGTATGAAGATATGAAATGGGTTCTCGAAGACGATACTGTGCGCGAACGGTCAAATTGGCACGCCATTGCGTCACCATGAATAGGTCAAAAACAGTCCTGTACGTAGTTGTCTCCCTGTTCTATCTCTTTACATAAATAAGGATCTGATTCTCCTTCTCCGTCCTGATTTAACAAGAGTGCTTTCAGTTAAGCCGATGGTGGACACGTCAATTGCTGCGTCGGTGCGGTGTAAGCGCCGCCCTCTCGTTTAAGAACCAATGTATACGTTGATGGTGTCGGGCTGAAAATGGCAGAGGCTGCCTTGTGGAACAATTCGTTGCCGACGCCTCTATTGTGTAGAACTTCCCTCACGTCAGGCTAATACAAGAAATCGTAGTAAAAGTCACAAGCTACCGTGTAATATGAACAATTCGCAAGGTGCACGGTATTCTGAGGGATTCAAGGTTACACACTACGGGAGAAGGATGAAATGACTGGCCACTTTGATGAAATTGAAGATATGGATGTAGAAATTGAAAGGGTAGTGTACATGGACGCCGAAAACTCGGATTCAAAGTATTCTTCTGAAAATCCGTCTTCAGTTGAGATGGGTATAATCACCGACGCGCGACAGAATTCCAAGTGCATTATTACATCAACGATGGACCAGAAAACTTGCATAGTCCAGCATGCAAAAGAAAAGCAAAGTAAGCTACGCACCTTCTCAGAATTATTCAGTTGCTCTATGGCAACTCATGACTGAAAGCCCTGCGGTACGATGTGGCCTTCGATACAGATGCATGTATACTTCTGGGATGAATTCAAGTCTAGTTACTTAAAGGCCCTGAGAACAGAGAACTTCGAGGGATATCGATTTCCCAGCCTAAACGAAGAGTGATTTCCGTTTGTCCTATTTCTGCCTGTAAAACTGGTAGCAATTCTATGAGGAAAAGACTATAGCTTTGTAGTCACTATCATTACGTTCCGTGCCCAAGGCTGACATGGACAGTAGACATTACTGTTGACTCAGATTCAGCGATGACGGGCGCAAGACCGGACTTGGTAGTTCCCGCAATTATCGGCTAGGATGGTATGCCAGTAAGACGTCCACGAAAAAGAAAATTCGGAGGCGAGAAGTCGGGATCGTGGTGGAATGAGATCAAGGCAAGGGCGTGTCAAGGGCGTGCTCGTTTCCTTCTTACCATCACAATGTCCGGGTCGCCGCCAACGATACGCGACCTCGCGGTCAGTTCATAGTCCTACTGCATTCTCTCCTTCTGCTAAAACCGGAACAGACCAAGGAATGCTTCATTTGCCAGCAGGACAATGGTAAAATTCCCGAGCACCGACCAATGAAGCAACTCATGCCATGCAGGGCCGGTCGAGTCGTGGGTCCATCCTTGCGAATGCACTCTCGTAGCACACCAGGCATGTTTGCTACGAATGATAGAGGCGCTACCCAAGACTACGCGAGCAGCATGTCCTCAATGCGGATTCAAGTATCGGATAATCAAAACAAAGTCGCTGCCTTTGGAGCTTCTCCGGCTAGGAAACTCACTTTGCAATATCTGCGGGACGATGTTCAGTATGGCAACGATATGCGGGGTGATAGTGCTTACCGGAAGCTGTGAGTCTGTCTTTGGGTCATGAGTAGCTTTGACGAACTACTATCACAGCTCTTGTATCGGTTCTGCGCTCATACGGCATGTATTCCATGAGGTTTCTCTTCGGAGACACGTGCGTTTTTATAGGTCGTGTTCTAGCTGTTATTGACAGTTTTCTTTATCAGGATATTCGATACGTTGCTGACCAGTGATACTTCTTCCTGGCCTTGGTCGACATGGCTCACAGTTCCACTCCTTGCTTTGAGATGCTTATTTACTGGGGAACCCTTCCGATTTCGTCATCTACTTGCCTACGTTCTTATATTGCCATCTCAACCACCACGAAACGTGCGCGAACGCCTCATGAGAGAATCCTCCAGCCGCTTTGGTCTCTTCTCCCTTCCCTACGACTCATTATCGTTCCAATGGCCTCCCACACGGTTACAATTTGGATGCTACATCTATATCACTCATTTTGTTTACGACTATCTCCGTGGTCACACCATTTGGGCCTGTCTACTACCCATACGCCCATACCTCGTGTCTAACATAATGTTTTTCATACGGTGGCGGAGGAATCGGACACGGCGTATTGAAAACGGGGGAGACCCTAATGCGCCCCAAGAGATTGATATGCCACCTCTAGACAATGGCCGCGCGCCTCCTCCGGAAGAACCTCGGTTCGCACCAGAAGTGGGGGACCGCCCCCCATTATGGATGGCTCGCCGAATCTTGCAGTCGCAGTCAAGTCCTATGCTAGAAGCAATGTTCTTGCCCGCAATTGCCAGGGGAATGGGATACCTGCTCCACGAGCTCGCACAGCACTATTTCCCACTTCAACGCGTACTTGGGATTCGGCCTACTGTGGCAACCGTCGGACTATCACTTCCGTTCGCTAACAAAATCATGTGGGACCAGACCCTGAACAACACCTACTATTGGATAAAGTTTTCCGCCTGGGTGTGGTCAGAGACTGATCCTGTCTGGTAAGCTGCAGCTTTTCAATACCAAGGATAGTCTGACCGGCTGCCCGTCTTTTCCAATTCAGGCTTCGAAACACCATCGGGCTTGGAATTTTCGTGCTCGTACGTGATGTTTGTTTAATATGGTACTCATTCTCACAGCACCTCAGCTGAAGGACGCGCTGAGTCCAACTGCATCTGTGGTTACGAAAAAACGAGATCGAGAGTCGTCACGTTAAGGATAGAAGTTTCGAGGGTTTAGATCCCCGCGACCTTGATCTTATACGCCCAGTGCCTTAGCTGCCTGGTTCATACTTAAATGTAACACATACCAGGATAGAACGGTGTGAGTGCTGTATCCTTCCTTTCAGGACGCAGGTCAATCCAAAATCAAATCCAGTATAATGTCAAGGATTCACGCTAATGTGGCAGGTTCGGATGGTCAGCTGTCCCTGTCGTGCCCTTCTTGAGGCCCTGTACCCGCGTCAGATGTTCCGCCCGATGAGTAGCGTGTATAGAACTTCATAGAACTATGCATTGTTACTTGGCCGGTTGAAGATAGAACTAGAAGTTACCTATAAATGAGTCACCCAGCCTAAAGCCAATCATCCTCCGGCGTTGAAGTGTATTTGGTAGATCTTATCGAATGGTGTAGGTCCCATCGAATAGCTTAGGTATCCAAGTTTGTAACTGAGCTTGTCTTATATCTTTCCACCGAACAGCGCAAGCCAAGTGTGAACACAGTATATCCCTTCCCTGATAATGCGTAGAACACTCTGTAGGAAATCAAATGAAGTACATTTCTGCATAATGCTACCCCCTCTCATGTGCGATATGGATGCAAAAGCAACGGATAATGTCATACGATTGAGACCCGGTCCCAATCAATACTGACAGATTATCGTTAGCCCTGATCGACATGATAGCTGATTCACAAGGTTCACGAGTATCCTGTTGGATGTCGAGAGGTCATCCAATATGTCTGCCCTTATTTTGAAAACGCCTCAAACGGAAGGCCGTCCTTATACCACACCTTCCTCGCGACGTAGCATTGGCATGATGACTACTTGCCTAGCTGGAAGCGACCTAACATGAGACAGAGGACGCGGACCAGATTATTATTCAAAGAATTAGAAGAGTCAAAGATAGATCCATACAGGATGGGTTTCAACGGATCCAGACTAGGTAAAATTCCATGAAAGCAACAACTTCTTCGGCCCGGTACTCATTATGACACGAGGAGATGCCAATTTGAGCATTCGCGCACATTATCATCTATCCGTGTAATATCCTCAAATGCGTCCGCAATGAATGCCCATAAGCCTCAATAAAAATGAGTCCTTTTCGCTCAATGGAAGAAAGAGTTACTCTCACTAAATGGCCTTCGGATTGCCTTTGCGAAACAACGATTGATGCCTCGTGCATCACCCTCCGTCTCGGTATGGACACCATGGCCAGAAAACCGTCGGACGCAATTTAGATACGTCGAATGCGATAGCATGTCCTCCAAAGGGATCTCTTTAACACATTTCGACAACGCGGCAGGGGCCATAGCACAAGTGGCGTCTCTCAGAAACACTATCCAATCAGGGTCAGCATATTCGTCGGAGATAAAATAGGGTGCCAAGTCGTAAACAACGATTTCCCAGTCCACAGGTAAGGCACTGAGCTGTGTGGTCGCTTGGTCAAGCGCTATGGATATTCGGGTCCGGACAATTTGATCTTGAGACATTATGAGGTAGAAGAATCCACGCCGAACGCAATACCCGATTTCGAGGAAAATGTGTGTGATATTTGGAAAACATTTGCGAAAGCCGATGAAATTAGGCAGATTGGATAGGGTTGTGTACGGCTCCTGGTCTACATCCTCGGTTGCATAGATAAGGTCGACACGGCAGGTAATCGTACGAGTAAAATGTGGGAGATAGTGTCGATAGATCAGAGAGTTGTTGTTGCGTATAATAGAACTGAGATAGAACAGATATTCGTTCGTTAGAACGAAGATGTCCCGGGAAGCGATGTGGGCAAAAACGTCCATCCAGAGGCTGTTGATGAGGGGACATGTTTTCATGAATATAATTCTATCACCCGATGAATGTTCAGAATACCAAAATTCTGATATAATGGTATGAATGATTTCAGGAGGGAGCTGGTCGAGCATAAGAGAAGTCGAAACATGTCTCAATACCTGCACGCGAATCCAGTATCGGCATCCAGTAGCGGCGGAAGCCGGGTCCCCGATTCTTTCCTTATTTCAAATATCGGTTTTATCGGTCGAAGGTTGAAACGCAGGACGAAATAACGCTCAGGCACTTTCTCACGTTTCTCTTTTCTGCCACGTACCATCATGTCCTCTTTGTCGCGGATGTTCCATCCAGTATGCAGACTATATAGTGGGATATGTGAATATGTATTTTCTAATTAATCTGCCTTTTTGTCATCTTGCTTTTCTATCATCTTATTGAGGATTGCTTGTAGCATGAAAATCGCTTTGCGGATGTCAGTCGGCTCCAGATCATTGCGATCCAAAAGCCACAGGACTTCAGCAAGAGATGTGGACGTATTGGCGACTCAGAAAGTCGAGGTAATCGCCTGGTTGGAATGTTTGGGTCGTCCCAGTGACCAGACGATTTCTTTCGGTGTGTTTGTAAGTTGGCTTATATCCTACTCGGCGTCAGTATTTGACCTTGGTATCAGAAGGATTATAAAGCGCACTTTCTTGCGTTCAGCGTCACCTAACGCTAGAGCAGTCGAGGGAGGTGAAGGAGGTGGTAGAGAATTTCAGTTTGTATGCATGTCCTGGATGAACGTTGGATGGTGAGCGTGATTCTCTTGAATAAGATACACTTACCGAGAAGTTAACGGCCATGTTGTTAAAGGTGTTGTCAGGTTGCAGTGACTCCGGGAAGATCTGCGGAAGGGTAAGGTCAGGCGAGAAATAAATCGAGCTTGCTCGTACGTCTAGCCTTCTGTAAGGTAACGCATCAGCGGGACAGGGGGGATAAGGTTCGTGAGGATTGGTAGACAAGCCCAAATGGTTGGACGATGTTACGTGCGAGAGGTCTGGTGTTGCATACGATGTGAGGGTATCGGCGTATGCGTACTGTCTGAGATCATGAGTTTCCATGTGGTGACGGGGGCTAGCTGTTAGTTCAGCAGTAGTGCTTCTAGCGCAGATAATATATGTCTCGACCCGGTACTCAGGAATGTATCGATGTAGAACAGAAATTATCTCCAGGTTGACAACGGCTTCATGCATTGTGTGGCGCGTTAGGACTGTCTTCGTCTATACAATCATTCCTACAATTTGCGATGGAAAATGTTCACGATGTCTCGGACATTTTGTCAGACTATCGGCTCAAGTGATATGAATGGGAAAATGATTCTGCCATGTACTGGCGAGCTGCAGACAGAATGTATTCATTAGATTATGAAGAAGCTGGCAAGGACAGCGTGACAGCACATATAGGTGATATGTATCTGTCACCTCGTACTCAGCTTCTCCGCCGATGGACATACCCCTTCAGGGTGAAGTTCCTCTGAACGCCACTGAGAGTTGCTGTTCATTTATTACAGTATACTATGTATTGTTTAGGAAGATACAAGCGACATGCTACGCGTATTTGTATTTCGTTAGCTCATAAAGATACGCCCTGGTGGTGTCATGAGGATCCTCTTCGTCTTCGGAAGTCGGCTCAGGAAAGTCTTCGCCGAGTACACCAATATCTCCAAGGTTGGTGAGATATTTAGGCAGCGGTTTGGCCGGAATAGTGCCGCTTGTAACGGCAGGTGGATCGTGTATCTTGGCCACAATTTGAATGTTGAAAGAACCCAGGCCCCGGGAAGCTCCCGCCAAGGTTTGTCCGGATTTTAGCATATTTTAGGCCCAAAAAAAGCGAAATCTTTGTCCGCAGATAGCATATTTCAGACCCAAAATTTGGAACCCTTGTCCGTAGTTAGCATATTTTAGGGCCTCTGGGCCTGGAGGAATGGCACCTGGCGGAATCCCTGTAGTTGGAGAAGCACATAGCGAAGACTTATTGGGATCTGAAGGATGGATGGAAGTGACACTGAAATTTCATCCGGAAAATGCAAGGCAAAGGACGCCAAAATTTGGCCTAATTTGGCCCGCGGCGCAGTCCGGCACGGACGGACCGGCAGAAGCCCTGTCCGAGTTAGCATATTTTAGGTGCCAATCTTTGCATATTTGAGGCCAAAAATCAGGGTTTTTTCCGGACAAACCTTGGCGGGAGCTTCCCGGGGCCTAAGAACCCATGTCGTCGCCGTACTTCGTAGCGGTGAATATCAGCAATGCAATGGTTCCTTCCTCCAGCTCGGATTTGATTGGAGGGCATTTGTGAAATTTCGTGGGATTGAACTCCCTCGTCGCGTCGAACAAGGGTACTGTTGAACAGAATATATCAGTGTATGTGTGTGGCATGATGTAGGTAGTATATTTACCGTCTTCATTCCAGTGTCGGATGGCTAAGGAGCGTTTTAGTAAGTCGGCTGACATACAATGGAAGTGAGACTAACGTGGACCGAATGTTTTGCCGTTAAGGTGTGCCTTACTAGGTGTAGGGGGCGCTGATGGATCTGTGACGGTATTAGCTCGAGCTGTTCTAGGTGTTAGGTTGACATACCTTTCGGCTTGGGATATGTCGTGAATACAAGTCCGTCTCGAACTGTCTTAAAACTGAAGAGGTTGCGATCAAAGTCTACTTCCATTATTTCAGCCAGAACGGATGCTTGACGAGGCCAGAAGTTTTTCAAAGGTTTAATCGCGATCGCACGATTGAATTCGCCTTTGAACAGACTAGAGAATGTTACCGAACCTATCATAAAAAAACTTTGAGGGTAAGTATATGCGCCTGTGATCCTCTTGTTGGCATATTTGAAGTCAGATGGTTTTCCCAGAGTCAAGTTGGTCAGACGAGGTGTGGAAGGGATGAAAGCCAGCGTCATCAGGTGCCTTATGATCTCTTCTCAGTAACGCGACGACAGATCATAGCAAATACGCACAACAAGAAAGGGAGATCATTTTGAAAACCGTCAACCCAGTCATATATTTGGATCCGGTCCTCTCTGTACTCCATGTTGGTGTCAATGGTCTTGATACGTCGCAATTTGGGGATGGCGTCTATGATACCGAGCCAAGGATTGTACCCCGCGCGCAAGCTTGCAATGGTGTACATGAATATAAGCTGATGTTACCAAAAGTAATAACACGCACTCTTTAGTGGTGACTTCATGGCGATCGGAACTGGACGGATTGGCCGTAATCGTTGTATCTCGAGACCCACTCAGCATAACCGGGGGAATGCTTGGAAGTATCAGGCAAAATGTGAAAAAAATCATGGTAAAGGATGCGAACCTGTTCGTGTTGTATTGCATCATCTCGTCTTCGCCAGGGGTAGGCGATGATGTTGCCCTATCAAGACAGAGTTGGTGTCGGTATAAGAACAACAGGTATGAGCTTACGGAGGGCTGTTTATGCCCGTTTCGATATCATCAAGTGGTGGAGAGTTACTGTCGACCGTACTAAACAATTAAAAAGGTCAGTTGTTTCGATTCCATGAGACACACGAAGGTACTGACGCGCCATCACTAGCACTATCGGAATGTTGTTCGATCGGGGTGCTGTCCATGACGATCAAAGGAAATGAATTATGAACAGAAAAGAAGAGCCTACTTTGGCACGGTCAATCTTACTCTTTTCTTGCCAGATGGTTTCATCGTGGGAAGGGGGTTAACGGAAGTGTTACGCTTGGTGGGAGATGTCATAGCAAGTACAGTTGTGGCAGAGGAGATCAGGTAGCGTTGAAGCAATGAACAGTAGTAAACAGCACTCAAGCACTGGTCAGTTATAACCAGAAAATATAGCTCTATGACGTTGTTCATACACAAATACGCGGGGTCGATTCACTGTATGGGTTTACCTGGTATCTTGTCATCGCAGACTGTAGTCTGAGGAGCCTGCTCGGACATATTCTTCAATCCATCCAAGAAAATGTCATTTATGCGACGGAAGTTCCGCTATGGATGACCGGAGTCGGAAGAGATTCTACATGCGAGTAGACCGGGTATGCCATAAAGGGTCCTCTGTCTCGATATGTATGATTTCAATTTTAAAAGGGTCCATGAAGCTAAAATGGATGTACATGTATTCGAAGCCGAGCGCAGATTACATCACATACCTGATGTGGCAGATCAGTTACTCCTTGCTGTTCCTGTAGCCGGATGCAAAAAAATCTGTATGCCATACAGGTATGACCCTTGCTCATAATTTCAGTAGCGAGGAGAAAGGGTCTATGTAGCTTGTTAGGAAATATGAATGTTGGTCGAGAAGCTATAGTTTTGCCTTGTAAAGTCAAGGGGGAATTCTAACCGACGAACAAGGGTCTAAAGTATGCCGATAAAATATCCGTCTACTTCACTATTCGTATTATTAATCCGTGGTCACAATAGCCCTGCATACCGAAACCATCAAAGGCGCGATGTTCCGTTGTATCGCATGCACCTAGGGGTCAAAGAGCCGTAACGTCGTTAGGTTTGAATATGTATGTCCTGCCGACGGAGACACAAAAATGACATGGAAAGTAGAATAATCAGGAGTGACCGTGATGTATATACTTACATATTCTCAATGTCTGAAATGGGGTTTTCAGACACTCGATATACCAGCATCACCATCGTTATCATTATGCCACCGTTCAGAAAGATAGAGCTGACTGGCGAAAATGGGTTTGGCTTGTATGTCTTCATATATGTGTTATTGCTGTAGGCTGAATTTAGTGAGCAGACCAAGATTGACGAACGACTTCATCTTCCGGGATATGACAACAGGAGACCTACTGCGAGTTGCTCGCACTAACACGAGGAATTACAACGCAGTGGGAGATTTTATGAGGAGGACATACTCGGTCTCAAAACTGCTACGCCCTTTCTTTTCAGAGAACGATGTTCCTCGGTTTGTTGCGGCGCAGCGCAAGTCTGGTACCATGATCATTGGATCCATCGCTCTGTCCTATTTCACTTGGGATGCTTACATCAACAGTGACTTGGATTTACTTGTTAATCGAGCAAACGTAGTCCATATGAGAGGGTTCTTGATTTCAATGGGGTATGCGTTGGATAATAGGATGGTTGTACGCACCTTGTTGGAGGCGGCACACGATGATGCGCCTATCGATCTCAGGTTTCCGACATTGGGAAAATCGGTTAAATCTATTGAAAGTATAGAAACATACCGATCAACATCATCGGACAGAGTCGTGAGACTCGTAATGTGTGTTCGAGAGGAAATCGAAGTGATCTTGGGGCTTCATTCCAGTGTGTTTATAATAAACTCGTTAAAAACTTCTGCATTGATTTAGTTTGAATGTCATAGCTTGCACAATGAACTTTATCACACACGCACGTGCATACCCTTTATATCCGAGGGCGACACTGGACTATCATGCATCCACTTCGTGCTTTACCACCGACGAGCGTGAACTAGAAGCCCAGGTCAAATATAGACAGAGAGGATGGGTGCCCATTCCATGTTTCATCATTGACGGTGATGTAATACATGACAGTACATTGGATTTCCCTGACGTTGACCGTTTTGTTGGCGATCGGTACATGCTGCGATGGGTGTTGGGAAAAGAGAGATCCGTAGAAGCATTGGGATGACCGTTCTTAGAAGATGATGATGCTGAGGTTGACATGGACACATGGACACTTAAGTATATGGAGCCGCGACGGAAGGGTGTTGTTATAAATTTTGCCGTCATGAAAGGGAAGATGATGTTCAAATCTTATTGTTTGTCAGATGGTATGCTGGAAAAAGTTACGCCGCACATGGGTAATTGGTAGGTGCGGTACTCTAATCTTCATAGCTTACACTGAATATAACATTTGCTATAGGAATGATATCAATATGAAGGAATTTGTTGCTCGCTATCATAAACAGACAGTCTAATTAGCCCATACAATTAAACATTTCATGTTGAATCAGCCTTATGTTTGATGGGGCACAGGGCAGTGATGTACGAGGGCGATTTTCAAACATCCTATCTATTACCCAGTCGCTTCCCCAACGAAAGCTGACTTTCGCTCCTGCGGATAGGTGGGGGAGTTGACTCTCCACATGCGAGCGAAGGGTATCCGCATGCTCGATGTAATCTTCGTCGAGTACAGGCAAGGCTATGTTCAGCTTTGAAAGAGAATCCGTGCCGTGATAATAGAAATGTTCATCCAGCGCATGCAGCGCCTCGTATGAATGGAGCGTGTCCGTAACTGGGATACTGAGTTCCATGACAGTTGCTTTAGATGATGACAGGGATATCAAGCTTCTGACGCAGCTCTCCAGGTGCCTGTATGGCACTTCAGCGGTAAATGTTTCTAGATGAAACATGGCACTGAGATCAAGATATGCATCTCCGCTCTCATCGTCTGTAAAGTGGATACTGTGAGCCAATCACGAGAGTCAGGCAAGCGAAACCGATCATCTAGGTACTTGAGAGTTAAATGTCGTAGTGTTGTGCTTGCTAGTCCGACGATGTGTCGGGCAAGATGGACATCCTGCACAGACAAACTGAGCTGCAGAGTGGATAGTAGGATGGGTGTTGTACGCCAAAGGATCCAGTCTGAGAAATAGCTGTGTAGCTTCGCAGCGAGTGGACCCTCTGAGTCTTCATCGGAGACAGAGTCACGGCAGAGTAAATGAGTGAGGTTTAGGTGCAACATAGAGAGGGTAACGGGAAGGGATAGTGGTTGGGTGTCAGCGCAATGCGAGTATCTCATGGAGATAGACAGACCACCAATGCAACACAATGATAGCGTTGGCATCCCGGTCAATAGATAGTGCAATGCGGAAGATGTGAGGTGGCAATTCCAGAGTATGAGGCGCCTCATGGATGACATGGTAACGGTCCTTGCCAAATCTATGGTGCTTCCGTCTATGAGCAGGGATTGTAAAAAGGGCAACTGGGCCAATATGGCGGCCAGGGATGCATTGTCGGTAAACACCCACGCGGGACCCAGTATGTTGAGGTGGGAAGCTCATGATGTCCCGTCATCTGGACCCGACGGCAGCGCGTTAGCATCAGTCGAGGTGACATTGATGCCAACAAATATTTTTAGAAGTGTGGCGAGGTGTCGGCTGATGACCGGTCCAGGAGGGAGTGGTGCATAGTGCTCTACACACCGATGATTGAGTCTGGTAAGATCTAGACCTTCGAAGTCAATTCGTATCATGATGGGTGTACGTTGGTAGAGTGTAAGAAAGCACAACGCTCGGTTTATAAGAATACTGTGTTCTTAATTACCAATTCGTAAGGGGTAAATAGGGGAAGTGACTATGATGGGTAAGGGAGACCTCGGTATCCGGTATCATGGAAGTACCGTTCAAGGTGGAACGAAGCGCATCCAGCGTGATCTGTAAGTCGTATAGTAAAACCGGATCTTTATCGTAAAGAATGATGCTTATACGAGATAAGGTGGTGTTACCCGATAATGCTATCACCATCGATTCTCATGCCGCTGCATGCAATCTAAAATCTAGCAAGCCGCTGTTCTCCTCGACCCCATACAAGACACGGAGGTACGATAGCATGCTGATATCCTTCAGGGATCTGACCAAGAGCAACAGATCTTGGTGGAGACAAGTGCAACTTTCCACAGGTAGCGATGATAGAACGCATAGCTTGTGGACATTGAAAACACGGGGAACAGGTCCGAGATGATCTAATGAAGCAATGAACATTGGCCGCGAACGGTTTTGAGCTCACGTACCAAGTCTTACAATAGAAAATGTTTTCATGTTTGGAGCCACGTCTGGTAAAGCGTGATGGAATACGTCTGAAATGTCACTCCTTATTCGCAGCGAAATATCTGTGACCGTGGTGAAGAATGAAGATGTAGAACAAAAACGAAGGAACGAGTCCATAGTGGCCTGTGTTGCCGACTCGATAACCAGCCAGTGCATCTGGTGGGAGGATCGAAGGATGGTAGTTGTGTCAATGTCGCATATATCTGGTGCCCCGACGGTTGCAACGAAGTCAATTATTCGGAGGTAAGATAAGGATGGAAATGCTGTGGATACATCGGACCATATGGTATCCGGCAAATGGCAGCAGCACAGCTGAAGGAGGCAGAGCATGGAGACAGGACTGGTGGTTAATACCATCCAGTCGAGTTTAAATGCGTTACAGACGATGGTCGTGAGATATGGGAGACGACGAAGGATCATGGACGAGGTGATGTGATTGTCGAGGACGAATATGTCGCTGGTGAAGGTGATATGCTTCACATAATGCTCAATGGACTGGTTTTTTTCGAGGAGAGACTAACACGCAGGTAGGTCACATTCCCCCTCTTGGACTTTCAGTGCTTCAAACATATAACCATGAGCAAAGGGCAACCACTGTTTCTGTACTAGCGAGAGACGTTTCCCATCATCGATGGACGAAAGGACATGCTGAAATATTTTCAGCAGTATCTCGGGAGAAAGAAGATTTATGGGAGTGGAATGCATATCAGAGTGGAGATGCTGTATGTGTGCAAAACGAATATAATATTATGTTAAGGACACTGAGAATTGTGTGCGATATAAGCCACCGTGATTTAGCTTCTCCGAGCATGAGCGGGATAGCTGGGAATGCCGAGGAACTGACAAGAACAGGGTAGACAAACAGCATACGCTTAGTGACGATCTATCGCATGATATCAAGATCAGGTCGCAGACTTCATCTAATATATAAATTCGTGACCGAGGTTCAAGAACGACTGAAGCAATGCGGCCTGCCACATGTACCACAGAAAGAACAGTTTTTAGTCTTACTGAAGAAGTTGTTCACGCAACCGTGAGTGATACTACGTATTTATCCTATCCCTAATCATATTTATCTACTCTCTAGGATCCTTCCAGCTGGTGCAATGGAATCTTGTATGGTACACATTGCTGGGAGCCTATCGTGGTACCTGTTCAAAAAGTAATCTATTCCTGTCACATGGTGTCATTCGATGTCGACTTATGGCTGATGCCCGGTGATATGGGTCCTGTGTATCGAGTATGGGCGCCGCTCGATGCTGAACACCAGGTAGTGTTACACCTGGTAGATCACGACTTTGTGCCTCGTAACAGGCTATTCGATGGCATGATCAGAAAAAGAAGTGGTCTCAGAGGCAATGTGCTCGCTTTGAAAGTGAAGAATGAGTCGGGCCGATATGTCAACATGACTCTAGCAGATGAAGCTAAGACGAGTCAGACCTTGAAGGTGTAAGTCTGTCGTATTACACATATCACAGCGATGCTAATGTATAGTACCAGCCACGTCGAACGTAAATTCAGTTTCAATTTCATGCACGAAAGCAGTATGTAGTGGAGTACGCATTATCTGCGGTATTTGTGAATATAGATGTTCTACACAATTTGAAGCAGGATTTTCCATAGAAGATGGGCGTAACACGCGTATATCGCGAATGTAAAGCCACCGCATCATCTTTCTTTATAGTGAGATCCGATACACTCGGCCTCGCATTGAGGGGAAATTTTTAAAAAATTCAAAACTAAAAGTGGAAGATAGTACAGGAACGAAACAGGCGAGTATTACAACAAGACTCCGTGGATTTGTCGATAATATCCATAGGGCATAAGGGACTATACTCTGTCTAGAAAACAGTTTGTGGGGTGCACAACAGGCTAGACAAAGAGACGAGTTGTATCTGTGTCTCAAAGAGGACAGGAGACCCTTTATGCATGTATGGAACACTGCAGGACTATGAGAGAGGAAAGGGCAGCAAATAATTCGGCACATGTTATGAACTTATATGAAATATTACCACTTGTCGTAGAGGTATAAATATAAGGCCAGATTTCAAGAATAACATCTGGTCTTGCAGTACCATGTCATTCACTCGATACAGCACAACTCTCTCTAATCTAACATCGATAATGGGCAACGAAACTCTCAGTAAGTCTTTATGATGCACGTGAAGACCACATCTGAACTGCATGATATAGGGACGGAATATCAAGATGCGATCACGTTCTGTAACAACAACCCATCTCAACTTGCTGGGTATGGGGATATCCAACGTCTTTTGGCAGAAACCATGGTAGACTCTGAATCTCGACCGGACGCCTCGTTCATTGTGAATCAAGAGACAAGAGAAGAAATGGTCTTTCAAATGCAAGGGATCGTTCTCGAAGTCGCCCTGCCTCCGGTACACGGCAATGCAAACAATCAAAGGCTAGATGTTCCGCTATTCTTAGTTTGTTCGTAATGTACTGAGATCGTACGCAGGGTTTCCGTTAATCATCTCCAACAATCCGTAACTATCGTTGGATTGGAAGGTGATCGCCAGTTCGTCGAAGCGTTAGCGGCAATCAGCTGCATGCTCAATCTGTTGAGCCAGTCAGAGACGAACCACGTTTGTGCATCGCTGCAGACACGAACGGGTAACGGTGCCCAGGTCACCTTTCGCAACTGGCTGTTAACTCCTTTGCATGCGGTGAACGAGGACAATGTTGTAGCTTTGCCGGCTGCGGTTGACCCTCATAACTTGCTATTGAAGGAGCTTCAGCCTAACAAATTCTCATTCACCGAAGACTCTAACGTGTCACTCGAGAAGTACAGCCGGACAGCTGACGGACAGTAAGCATTCGTCATATGTACAATCTTTGGTTGTCTGTTGATGGAAGATAACCAGATACATTCATACCTCTGATGTAGATCCATGTGTTTTCTGCCCCGGACAGGTTGTAAACGTAGGAGTATCATTCTGTTTATGTAAACGCGGACCCAGCCTATCATTTGTTCAGCGCCTGGACAGTATAGCCTTAATGTCGACCGTGGGAGCCCCTGTAAGAATCTTATCCCTGACTATTGAATTGACTAAGAGCTTACATGAACAATTCAGTTGGTGCAAGCCATGGAAATGGCGAGCAGAAACCATGAAGTGCAGCGTCCCTTACCTCACAAGCGCAGACAAGATGTCATGAAGATTGTGTAGATCAAAGGTCATACCTTCTGCTTGTAGCATCTGAAATCTCTCAGCCTCATATGAGATGATAGTATTGTAGAGCAGTAATCTCAGTATTTACATTGTAGCCAAAAAAAGAAATAACATATCAATGGGTACAGAAAGAACATCATGGACTGAACACTTGTACCCGTTTTAACCCCTACTCAGACAGCTCCGAATCGGAATTCCACTCTACATGCTGATTGAAGAAAACGGTCTGCAAGGCATGTACATATTGGGCCTTGTTCCAGTCCGACACCTCTGCCTCGTCAATCCATCGTGCCAACTCCTCCACCTGTCGCAAGATGTCGTATAAGTTTTGGAGAGCATCATGCAGCTTGTGAGCCGAGGTCGATGGGGGGAAAGCTTGTATGTACTTGAGGAAAATCGCTGACATGTTACCCACGGCATCGTCAAGGCTGCTGTCAAGCACCATGAAGTTGATTGGTCCAGGTACACTGGAAGGATAAGCGGGGATAGTGGGAGGCATAGCATCCGAGAGTGGGTCTAAACTGGATGCATCTGACCACCCGTCAGACTCCGACTCGGTGTCAGATGGTGAAGGATTTTGGGCACGCATGCTGTCTTCGCCCTTGTTGCCTTGTACATCACTATAATCCATTGCCCATGAATACAAAAGATAGCCGTTGTGTTTGAAGAATGCTCACCATATGCATGTAATGGCACCACAACATTTCTGTGGGTAGTGCTCATTGTTTAGGCTCAGGAGTGGAGCATATGAGTCCGTCGCATTCATGTTGATGGACGACGAGAGAAGCCTTGATGATAATGAAGGGACCAAAGCGCTACAAAGTTGTGCGTGACAAAATGTAATCAAATTTCTGGAAGCGTGCATGCGCCACATTATTACAAGGTTTTCTATTCGGTATATGCAGAGAGACCCTCGGCGCTCTCAGACATTCACATCCAGAGACCCAAAGCTGCCAATAGTTGTCAAGATGACCTGATTCCATCAGACACATGAGTCGCTGCCCTGACGCTTGAGAGTATCACTTACTGCATGTCTTCAAGCGAAAGCTGAGAGCATCAGCACACCAGCGGCTTGTTGCAGGATGCAACCATGTTGTTATATTTCGTCTCTATATTCGTGGTTATCATACACTGTCTCTATATCATGCAAGTCAGACATGAACTTCATGCGTGTCATAGATGCTTATGAAGGCTTTCACTGTCCCTGACCAACGATAGGTTAAAGAGAGGGTGTGTGTGTGTTGTGCCGTGTTGAGTGACAGGCACGGACAGTCATATGCCCCAATAGCATGTTCCACTTGGGCATCGTGCACGGAATAGATGGCATCCTGGAAAATAGGACAGGATGTCTACAAATTTAATCGTAAATATATCATATGTCTGACTGAGTACGGCATGACACTGACCTATCAAGGATTTGATGCAAGGACCAGCAGCAGCAAGGTATGACGGTGCTGATGATCAGGAACAGGATGAGTCCCCGAAAATCTCATGTCTGAATGCCCAAAAAAATTCAGACGTTCGGAGATAATGTGAAACACGCCATTTCCTGTTGGAGATCGCATTTCCCATGGTGAAGAGGCTGGCTGTGGGCACCTGTGGAATAGTGAGCAGGCTAAATGTTACGGTTTATTCTTTTCTTTTCCTTTCTTTACGTATTCATGCTTACTCTTTGATGCGATTCCCATCGGACACTCTCACCGTACTATTTTTAGTGTACTCAATGTGTATTTAAGTAAAGCCTCAGCTGGTCTAAACCCCAGCTTCGGCTAAGGTTTAATCTACCTAACTCAAAGCTCCTTTCTTCGTGACTATCTAAGTTCGCTCCTGGCTCTTGCTTTGTGCCTTTGACCTCTGAGAGTATCATTCACCGAAGTGCGAGTGGCGATCCTTAGTTGATCTAAGTCAATAAGAGTTAGTGGCTAACATTTAGCCGAAGCTCGCTCTACGTTGCTCAGCGTCACTTCTGAGAAAGAGCGCTGCCCAACTCCTTTACAAGACGTTCCCCCCACTTGAACCAACGGTTATACTGTTGTTCTGCCCATTCCTTCTCACAGCATCAAGCGGTTAAACTGCTGAACTGTGACAAGCAAACCTCTACGATTCACCCGATACACCTCTTGATCGCAGTAGCCCTCTGGGTTACCCCCTTTGACCTACTGCTACAAGCCGCCGTTATCGCCTGGGTCTTACCACATATCATCCACGACCCGATCTTCGCAGTTCTAGTAACTGTGTTCCTTACTCTTGCCCTCATACAGATCTGTATCGCTGCACCGCTCCTAGCAGGATTGCTAGTCGCTTTGTACGGTGGATACTTCCCTCTTGTCTAGGGCACCACGAACCTTTTACACCTATCCCTAAAGTTAGCTTCATTGTTGGCAGTCGTACTGCTAGCATTGACTGACCCTTCATTTGACGACGATATATCATTGATGACCAGCCCCACCTATGAGACTGACCTCAATCTAATTATCGCAACCCTTGCTGCCCTTACTATCCTCGCCCTAACCATCGTATGGTCCATCCTCGCCACTGGTCTTACTCAAAAATAAGCCCCCGGATGGATGCCCTTATCCGACACCATTCCAATAGTCTCCGCCGCTTTTACCGTCTTTTCCTTATTCATCTGCTTGTACTACCTTCAGCGGTGTTGCCGCGAACAAAGACGAGTACGAGCCCAACTGCCATTTCACTACGTCCCGGCGACCCCTGCATATCCGCCGCCAGTGATTTTCATTCCCGCAGCATCCCAACAAACTCTTCACGATGGCCAACCCATCACACCCAGAGGACCTGGAGGGTCCCTTTACACATCGTCGCGATCCAGCTCGGGATCCTCAGAGCCGAGCACCGACTCCTACAGAAGCGCCACCGCCGAGTCAGACGACTCCGTCGACATCACCGATACCCAGGGGGTACTCCTCGACCGAGGAGACTCGCCCGTACCGGGCCTCTTCTACCAGCCTCCAGTCGAAGGCGAGTCAAGTACCCATGGAGCCGGAGGACAAGGGTCCGGGCCTGTGGACGAGGGCGAAGAAAGCCCTGACACCGAGTACGAAGGCAACGAGCTCAGTGACCTCGAAAGGGTCCGACTCGAAAACCTCCTCGGTGACCTCTACCTGGACGAGGAGGAAGATGCAACCTATACCGGAAACAACTGGAGCGGACGCTCCCAGAACAAGTGGCTCGACGCAGACTGGGGGAGCGAGCAGCGAAGATATGGAAAGGGAAGAGCAAGGGATGACTTCGACGACGATTCCGGGGAACTTGGCCTCAGAGCCTCCGCAGCTACCACCAGTTCAGCTGACCCACAGCTTGTTCCAAGGTCCTGGCCAACCGATAGGGGTCCCCCAGTCGCCTGGTACTCCGACACCAGCTGGGTCTATGCCGACGACGGGGAAGAGACTCCTGTGGCTGGAGACTCGACCAGATCAGAGCCCGACCCGGTCCCTGAAAGGACCGAGGCCCCAGCGCTCGCTTCCACCATCCCCCCGCACGAGCCGACGGATGGGGAGCTTTGGAGCGAGTTCCCAGAGTACGACTCCGAGGAATTTGGAACAGTTACCATTTCCGAGCGCCTCGCCGGAGTCTCCAACTGGGAGCCGTCAGTTGCGTCGCGAGCCTTCGCCGACCCACTCCCTCTCTCGCAGCGTCCATGGCCCCTCCTTTATCACACGTATGTCGAGTCCCTCGGACTCCCTAGAAATGCCCGGGAGTCCCCAGAAATCCAGGCCAGAATGGACCGAGGCCGAGCGCATGACGCACGGATCCATAGAGCCGAGGAGGACGCCCTCCAAGGACCTGGAGGCTGGTGGGACCTACCCCTCGAACCTGACGCCACTGACACCGAAGTCGAAAACAGAATACGAGCAGCGGCCGTCCGATATACAGGAGCAGCACGACGAGCCGGAGGAGACTTGGAGGCAAGAGCCAGAGCCTGGAACTCCTACCAGTCGGAGATCACCGACGAGGACTCAGATATCGGAAGGTGGAGGAGGAACAAGGAGCTTGACCACCTCGCCCGAGAGAGGGAGGCGTCAAAGGATGCCAAGTCGACCGACAAACCGCACCCTCGAACCGACGGTGATGGTGGCCATAAGGACGGTCCTCCTTAATGGACCCATCCCGAGGCCTGCCATCTTCAACCTCCTACCATGGCACGGGCTCTATGAAATCTTAATGGAGGATATGGAGAAAGACCCGCAATGGCTGATTACCGATGCAGGGGAAGATTATAGACACGCCCGACATTCGGGCGATGTTTATTTAATGAAGAACATTCTCGAAGTAGAAACCTGGCACCGAGCGGCCGACGTATGGAACCAGGTCCATCCCGAGGACCCGCGGCAGGGATGCGAACCCTACCGGCGACCTCAACCGATGCCAAACCCTCTGGAAACAGAGTATGGTGGCTCGGGATTCTTCGCCGGAGCAGGAGGAGACGACGAGGACTTTGCGGACCCGGGTGTGGGACCCTCTCACCCCGATAAAGGGAAAGGGTCGACGGTACCCCCGCTCCCACCAACAGGACCTCCGCCGCAGCCGCCACCGTGCCCTAACTACGGGGGCTACCCGCCTCCGGGCGACAATCGAAACTTGCGATCCCTCTCGCGACCGCCCAGGCCCCCAATTCCGCCAGTACCGCCCTCGCCGCCGGACCCTATCAATCCATGGGTCCTAGCGCTGGGGGCTGTCAACAATCCCTGGAACGACGTGAAGCCTAAGCTGATCACTCAGCCCGAATACTTCACCGGGGTCTCCTCCGACATCACCCGCTTCCTCCACCACTGTGAGGTGTACTTCCAGGTGTTTCCGATGTACTACACCATGAACGATCAAGGGCAGAACCCTTACCGCATCACGTTCGCACAAGGATACCTCCGCGGCGAAGCACAACAATGGTGGGTGGATCAATACTACCGATACCAAGACCCGTGGGGTCATTGGAGATTCCCCACCTGGGAGGAATTCTCCCATGACCTCACCGTCCAATT